CTTTCAGCTTTTCATGTGTTGCTTCCAAAGATTATCTCAGGATGGGAGGGAAAATTCCATCTGAGCTTGTCCTTTCTTTCAAAAGTGCTTGGGAGGGTCCAGCATAGCAAACAGCAGACTTTGAGTTGCAGCACACCCTCTGCTGGGTTTTATCCATTTCAGATGCTGTTGGTGTAGTGCGTTTCAAATCCTCGCATTATACACTTCTTTTGCCTCTTGGCACAGGCCTTGGGAGCTGAGTGACTGGCTCAGTTCTTGCTAAGAGGCAATGACAACATCTCTGGCTGTTTCCCGGTACAACTGCTCCCGAGTGCTGAACTCCAGAGCCTTGCAGCAGGATGCCTGCTGCTGAATGCTGGAAGTGCTCTAAACTAATGGAAAACTTGGGTTTGACCTACTGTTAGTCAGCAATATTCAAAAGTTTAAGCCTTTCTACCTGTGATTTTGACCAGTTTTGGACTGTCTATTGCCCCCCAGCCAGAATGGCCTGACTACAACGTATACATGCAGCTAATGCCTCTGGAGCCCACGGGCCAGAACAGCTCAGGTATTTGGGCTACAGCAATGTGAAACAGGCAGGGGTGGGAGCACAAGCAGTTACAAAAAGCCCTGCACAGGTCTAAAGTGTCTGTTGTTGGCCTTTTCTGTGGCACTCCATGTATCCACTCAGCCTGGCACACACCAGGACCCCAGAATGAGTTCAGACTAGGGTGTGAGGCTATGTCAGGGTTTCAGAGAGTTGGGCCTGACTGCATGACTTCACCCCCGGTTTTCTGGGGCTGCAGTGCAAGTGCAAGCTGCACTTGGGAAATGTGACCCTCCTTGGGCAGTCAAATGGGAGATCATGGATAAAATGAACCTCAGTGAGGACAGCCAGGAGCAGGCTGGCTGTGGTGTGGTGTGGTGTGGGGTTAGCCTGGTGTCCCTGTTGTGGTGTGGAGTGGGGAAGCAGGACAGGCATCACAAAGCCCAGGCAGCAGTGGGGGTTTTGCTTGGCTGGTGGCCCTGCTGTGGGGGCTCTAAGCCAGCAGCTGCAGGGCGTCCGAGACATGGTGATGTTGGAGGTGTTTCTGGGGAGTGTTTGGTTTTCTGCCTCCCCTCCCCTTCTGTTCCTGTCCCAAATATTGGGGGCATAAAAGGAAAATGCAGTTGTGAGATGACCATATCACATGAATGACTTTCAGCTTTCTCACTGACTGGCCACTCAGTCCTGTTTGGGACCAGACACGATAATAAATAGGATTTTAACACCCCAAGGTGGAAAGCAGCATTTTTTAATGCCTACTGAAAAGCCAAACAAAGTATTACATGAGGCAGAGGGAGCCTGGGCTACACTGTGTGGATTCAGACACCACCATTGCCACCCAGTCCTGCAACCTTGGGATGTTTCCTTCACTGACGGCAGAAACCTGGTTATCAACTAGTTAGAATTTCGAAAGCCTAGGAGTTCATGGGGTGCTTGGATTTATGGTTCTGATTAGGCTCATCTTGACAAGAAATAGGCACATTCTGAATAGGAGGACACCCGCCTTTCACACTGAAAAGCTCAGCAGTTATGCTGGGCCAGGGAAGCGACTATCTCACACAGGAGCTTGGGGAATCTGGGATGAGAATGGTCAGGTAAAACAATGAGCATGTGTCAGCACTTCCACGCTGCAGAGGGCATCTCTGTGTAACTGAAAAAGATCACAAGGAGACCCGGTGCCAGAGGCTGGGAGGGGGGAGCTAAGCCTGAGAAACTGGGGCTTGTGAGGGTAGGTGGCTGTGGGGTCTGGCTGCTTGGTGCAAGGACAGCCAAGCTCCTCATTGCTCCTGCACAGCCTGCTGAGCTCCAGGCTTCATCGCTGGGAAAGGCATTTCATCTTGTTTTCAGTTTGTGTGTGAGATATGGCTTCTGTGGGGTGATATTTCTCTGTAAAGGAAAGGGGTATTTCTCTAAGTGTTATATTTGTATAGTAAAGAAAAATATTGTGGGTTTTTCCTTTCTTAGAAAACACTGTTGTGCTGTGGAGGTAGCGTGAGTGGCCTCATCTGTCTCTTTCTGCTTGCAGCTCTTGTTTATCATGTTGATAGGCTGGGTAAATCCTTGTGAGAGAATTACTATGGCCTGCTAGTCTTTCATTCATCCTCAGAGTGTAGCTAAACTTTCCACAGATGTTTAAAACAATGGCATTTAATCTCTAACACAGTTAAAAGGCTCATGTGCTCCTGCTCCAGAAGTGAGACACATTGACAGCAGTTCTAATTTATTTTATTTGCTTGCCCCAGCTTGCAAACTGAGTAGTCAAAAGAAAAGTTCTCATTTTAATATTCTGTGAGACTGACTTGCTTTAGTGACAACAATGGCTCTTGTGTGGTTACTGATGCATAACTCTGCTTCCTTCATATTAGTGTTTCCTTTGGTTATGGCGCTGTCATCTGCATATTCTTTCTAAATATTGACAAGGGATGTCCATCACTGAGCACTGATTGGTTGATGAATCGAAGCCCCTAGCCAATCAATGGGTAGAGGTTTGCATAAAAATGTGATTATTTGGAATTGCAAACCTTTCCACTTGCTTCTATAATGCCTCTGCTTTAACTGCCTCTGTTGCTCACATTTTCAAAGTACTTGGAAACCATGAAGATGCTTCCTAATGCCTCTGAAACCATGAATATGCTTCCTAATGCCTCTATCTTTCCTTTTTTCTGTGGCATGTATGGAAGGGGGGAGGGAATTAACAAGCAATGAAACTTAAATAGTTTGCACACAGAAAAGGGGAACAATGTGGGGAAAAAAAAAAGGGGGGAGAAAGAAAATGTTTCTGGTTTTTGTTTGTTAGTTTTTCCCAAAGCTAGAAGTGTGATCTGAAGCTCATATTCCTCTCTTTTCTTGCCTACCTTCCCTCCAGGACTGTTTGCATGATTTTCCTCGCATTGTCGATACTGTACCAGTTTTGACCCCTCACTAATATCTTTTGGTTATTGGAGAGGAACTAGCTTTCGGAGCTGTATGAATGTAAATTGACATGAGAGAAAGGAAGATGGCTGCAGGGAAAGATGACTGGAAAGGGAAATAATGTTTTTCTAGTTCTGGAGCTTGTAACTTCAGTTCAATTTGCAGTAAGTTTGCAGTTCGTGTGTGTATGTGGCTTTCCTCTCTTCTGCCCCTTACTGTAAGGTGTGGTAGTAACTGGGTATATTTTTATGGAGAGCAGCTTGAAAATGTGCACACTTTGTTCTTTTACTTCTCTTTTGTAAAATAGTGGAGAATTCGACCTGCATAGTAATGTGGTGTTTCGTGGGGTAATGAGTCTAGAGATGCAAAGCTAGAATGCAATGAGCATTAAGCAGTATGTCCAAAGGCAAGTGCTCGCAGTTGTTAGGTCAGAATCCAAATTATGCAGTAAAACAGTATTACACACCTCCTGATTTCTGACCCTTTGGGCTATCCATTTGCAGCTCTTCTTCTCATCCAAAGGGGCTAAAATTTCCCTTGAGCCTGGGATAAGGGAAGCTGAAAGCTTTCTTTGGCTTCTGATTCTGGTATTTAGCCATGCTAGACTTCGCTTAGTCATTCTTATCGTTGCAAAGACGGGGCGCGTGAATCACAGCTTGAAATGATTTCCCCTTCCATTTTCAAAGCCTTGAATATGCAAGGCAGTGATGGAGCAGACATCTTGGTTCTGCTCCATCTTCATACATAGAAACAGAATGTATGATTCTTTGTGTTTGACAAGACACATCTGCACTGATTTTAATGGACTGTAATTTGCTTTAGTTAAACCAGGGCAGATGGCTGCAGGACTTTGTGTAATTTCTTCAGTGTAAAATTGTGGTGCTGCTGCAAGATTATTAATCTGGTTTTAGGACACCTCATAGCAAAAAAAAAAAAGGCTATATTGTTGTAACTCTGTGTTGAACAAACAAAAATTAATTCTACCCATTAAAATGTGTAATGAAAAAGAATCCAAAAACCTGTCTCAGAAGACTTGGACGGGTAAGGTATTGTCTGGCTTACTGCGCAGCTTGAAGACTGTATTTTGTGGTTTTGGTTATTAAGCATTAGGTAAAATTATGTAGTCATGTCTGATCCCAATCAGGCTTGGACTGACAGGTGATCAGATACTATGTAAAGCTTGTATCAGTGAAAATTGAAACAGAGCCATGAAAATTTGCAAGGGCTTAACTAAATTGATTTAATGTAATCAAGACCTGGTTGTCTCTAGACAAGGTTTTCATTTACTGCTTTAATACATTCATCTGACATATGGCATTTATGCCTCTTTCATGTTTCTTTGCAGTAGCTCGGCAAGCAAGAACAGAAGTTGGAATGATTGCAAAAATTGAAAGTTTAGCCTAAAAATCCAAACTAGAATGACAAAGATGTTTTCAAATTTGTTTTCTCAATTATTTATATTAAAGGCTATATTTTATAAGATATTTCAATTCAGTCTGAGAATAAACATGTGACCTATCTCAGCAGGACCTTAGACTGAACTGCAAAACTCCCCTCCCTGCCCAGTTAGGTCTTGTTGCACATTATCAACCAAGACATTCCCAATGGGGGGAAAAAAAAACCAGGAAAAGTACTATGGAAAGTGTTGTGTGTTTTCAGTGAAGCTTGCTCATGATGAACAGGTTGAATGGGAAGTCTGCAGGCTGGAAAGAACATCTGCTTAAAACATGTGTTGAGTTTTCTTGCTTTCTTTATGTTACCAGTGAGCACATTTGTGGAAATCATGTTTTCTTCACAATCTGTTTGCTAAATCAGGACACAAACACGAGAATACTTGTGCATGAGAGTAATTTTCTATAGATGAGTAGCACCACTGTGTTCAGTAAGAGCAGTCACATACAGAATTAAGCACATGCATGAAAGCTTGCAGAAATTTGGCAAATATGTTGTTGTCATGAACAGATTGCCCAGCTTTGCTTCTAATACAACTATAAATTCTTGGCTTGGTCTTGTTCCGCATAGGCCTCATTGTATGAGCCATAAGCTATTCCATTGTGCTCAGCCTAACGGAGGATATTTCTCTTATTTTGTCATAGCAACAAGAGCAAGATCCCACAAATCTATACATCTCAAATTTACCCGTTTCCATGGATGAGCAGGAACTGGAGAATATGCTGAAACCCTTTGGACATGTCATTTCCACCAGAATATTAAGAGATGCTAATGGAGTCAGCAGAGGAGTCGGCTTTGCCAGGTGAAACTTTACACTTTTTTGATTCATGCACGTTTTTCATCTTTGGTCCTCTGCAAATACTATTTCATAACTGTGAAGCCTCATAGCTATGGAAAATGCAGAGCAGCACCTTTATCAGATCGTGTGTCTGTTCTTTCCACCAAGCTGAAGAATACCAGTGCAGAAGGATGTTCATTTCATCGCTCTAAATATAGTTCATTACATGTATGTATATGTAAATAAAAATAGCTTGCAATAGTGATCTATCCATGAATTATTAAGCACGTATAATAATAAATGTCCTACAGTGAGAAACATGCACTTCATGAAGACCAGGAAAAACTAAATTTATCAGTTGGAAGAGCAAAGGGGAGGAACTATAACTGAAGAAACATGGCTTCCTTGAAAGCTGCAGGGAACTCAAGCCTGTGAGAAGAGTTTAAGAAGAAATATTTGCATATAATAAACCCTGTCAGAGTAGTTAGATATTTTAGACAGAATGAACAACATATTATTACCATGTACTTCATTGTCAGTACAGATAGACAGGTTTCCATGTTTACTCTCAGGGAATATTTACATAGATTCTCTTCAGCTTGAAACCTTCTTAAATCAAATAGTTTTCTTTCGAAAAGGCAAGGAATAGAGAGCTATGTATAGAAAGATATTGAAAAAGCAAGTAAGTAGAGAAATTTGCAGTTGTGCTTTAATTCAGTTTTCTGCTTCAAAAGAAAAGGAAAAGTCCCAAATCGTTGTTTCTGCAGAATATTCATAACATTGTGCTTTGCAGAGAAGGCAAAATGACGTAGTCATCTTGAGAATTTCTTTGAAATGTGCCATGTCTTGCTGTATCGTGGCACTTCTGTTAGTGTCATAACACTACTGACTGAAATGAGGTACTGTATGATAAAAAGATAGCTTACAAGATAAGTGACATTATAGTGTTATCTTTGTACTTGATGTGAAAGATCATCATGTATGAAGAATATTAAGATAATATTGTCTGAATTCAAATGGGAAAAGGCAAAACATTTATGCTGAAAGATGACACACTGTTCCTTATGCATTCTTGCAGATAATAACATGATGTTTTCTAGCTCACTAGATATAGATTAGTGTAACTCACGGATAAACTCGCATTTTAAAAGATTTACTTTGTGTGTGGAAGTAGGAACATGTAACAAATTTCAAGAAACCTTTAGTGATCTAAGATGAAGGTTGTGTAATTCCCCATGCAAATAACAGAAGGGTAAAACCTTTGCTCCATCAATGTATACAGCAGGTCTCCCATTGACTTGAACGAGGCCAGAGTTAATTCAGAACTGTGGTTGAATGCTGACTCTTGTCTCTGCAGATTTATCAATACAAGATTTAATTACTTGGCCACCTGACCTTTTTGTAATACAGTGCTATTTGGTATCTTTTTCGTCTGCCTCAATCCAAATAGATTAATCTGTTTAGTTTTGCTTGTAGTCATGAAGGTTTTGTTCTAGTGTATCTACAGTGTGGGCACATGCTGAGTGGGTATAAATACAATACAAGTAGGAGACGGTAGCTGTATTTCAGTCCAGATAAGGTTTTAGAAGTTCAGATCAGCAACCGTGTGGTGATCCTGGCTATTATCAGCTACCTTTTGACCTGGCCTTTTGTCACAGTATATCTTGCCTGCTTGTGGATTGTGCCATGCTGCTTATCACAGCTCTTAACTGAGCCACAGAAGCACAGGAGAAAAAGTTAACTTTGCACACTCTAAAATGACGCAGCATCCAGCAATTTTGAGATTTGGTGTTTCAAAGTTATTAATTAAGTGCTATGATGATTAAACATTACATTTTGATTCTGCCCAATTATCTGAATAGTCAATCTCAAAATAAGTGTATTCAGAAAGCAATCGGATGTAAAGACTTACCGTAGACAGCTATTGTCAGATTTTTCTCCTAAATGGGTATGATTAGTAGTTTAATAGTACTGCAGGTGGCTACTTAATCATTTATAAGCCAGGTAACTTCAAATGTTCTTGGATGAAAATCATCTGAGTAATGTCTGGCCACATGAGAGTTCAGCCTCCTTTAAAGTATGCACGTTCAAAACTAGCTCCCCTTTTTAATCTGTGATTGTATTTCCTCTCTTTTGCATCCCTCAAAAGCAACTGGACAGATTTTCCTGAAACTTTCTAGAGCATTTTGCTGTGGTTTGGACCCAACCATGCCTAGGTATGCTCCAGGAGAGATTCTGGGGAGGACAGTCTTGAGCAAGGGGCCAGAGAAAGGAAGCATTAGACTCCGATTGTGGCTCCACAGAAGTTCATCCAGTTGAAAGGGAATTGCCAGAACCTCTAGACACCTGTCTCTGTCACTCTGGCCCATGCTTTGTACTTTACAGCCGTGCTACTTGGGTCCAGGCTCTCTGTGGGACCTAGCATTCTCCAGGGCTCATGCTACAGTGTGGGTTTCTGCTGACAAAGGCAGGCAGAAGGTGGGACTAAACATAGCCTATCATGTAGCAGAGAGAGAAATTAGGAGGAGGAGAGTGGGGGAAGAAATACTTACTAGAAATAAGGAATTTGAAAAGGAGGTGGAAGGGATGAAAAGCTTTGAGTTCAGTCTGTCTTAAGATATCAAAAGAGGGAATGACGCAGTGGTTCCCTTCACATAGGGATTTCATCACAAGACTTAAAACTGTAGGTGTTTCTCTTAAATCCCCATTGCTGGAAGTCATCTAATGAGTTCAGCAGCTGATCTTTCATTTAAAATGTGTAAGTGGATTCCTCAGAGCTTAGAACAAAAGCATAGTCCTTCATCCTCAAAAATGCAAAGGAAAAAGAGCCACAGAAACTGGATTTGAAGGCATTTTTTAAGATTCAGTTTTAAAGCTATCTCTTTTGAGTTTTGCAAACAGGACATTAACGATGTTGCTGGTGGTGGTTTAGGTAAAAAGCAGGTAGTAAGAAAGAAGGTCTTTGAGGGAGGCTGGAATTACTGAACAGGAAAAGGTACTGAGCGCATGGAGGGGAATATTTAACTTCATCCTGAAGATGTGCTGTCACTTATAAAAACATAACTATTTGCTGGAAGACCTGGCTCTCCACAGGCCCATAAAGGGTGGTTCCAGATGTTAAGGTGGGAGAAGATAAAGAAGTAACAGAATTATATTGGAGCCAAAGCAGCTCCATCTCGCTAAATGAAAGGGGGAATATTTAGAGGAAGATTTCTGAGGATCAGTGATGATGCTACTTTGGAGGCAGAGAAGTGTCAGCAGCGATGGGGGATAAAGAACAACCAGGCAGTTTAAGGCTGTATTTCTGAAAAGGGGAAATGCTTTGTTCTTCCTTATTCAAGGGTTTAATTGAAGGCATTTGAAAAGGTGCTATAAATTTAGCTTGAACAAATCCATCATCTGGGATGGTAGTGCAGACTTAGATATTATGAGGATCATTCCTACTTTCAGTCAGAATAATGATGTGTCACATCCTACATCTTATCCAGGAAATTGCTTTGTAATTGATACCTCAGATGAAACTAGAAATCCCCAAAATGCCCCAAAGACTTTGTGTGTTTTCTGTAGAATATTCCAATGCCTGTGGTGATAAATTTCCACTGAAAGCCCCTGCCTTGGAAGGGGCTCACAGCATCACTGTGAGGTGCTGGGGAGGTCCGTAGAAGAATGTATCTCCAAGACCCTCACATTTCCATCTGGCATATCAACCTGGACCAAATTTTGGTAGACTCAGTACATCCCTAAGAAAATTGCCAGGCATGGAGCTGCACTTCCAGGGAGAAGCAAACTCCCAAGAGGGACAAGAGGGACAGGATTCAGGGACAAATACCAATGGGACTCTGTAGGATGAAAATGGATAAGAAGCCTTCAAGGTGAAGAAGGAGGAAAAAGAAAGTTGGATGCCATCACGCAATTTAGCTGAGCAATTCTCGTAATCCAAGCCTGAGGTAGTGTGAGTTTAATTGAGCTCCTTGGGACATGGAAAAGGGGGTAAGGAGGCATTGGGATATACCTTAGGGAGGGACTTACTGATACCACTGAATCAATGAAATAAAAATTCTACTTTATAGACCCACAGTAAAATACCATTCAGTGTTATTTAAATAACCTACCAATAGAGATACTAACATTAGTAATACCACGCATACGTGTACCACACTCATATGAGTAGCGGAGCAAGCATTTTTTAGGTCCTTTCATATGATAAAGTACAAAGAAAGAGTTAGAAAGCACTAACTTTTTTATTTTGTTTTCTGTTTTGTAACTTAAAACGACCTTGCAAGATTCACCCCCCAAGCGACATTTTACGACGAAGTCATAAGCCTCTGAAAACAGAAATTTATGATGGAAATGCTGACAGTCAGACAGTCAAGTATTGCACTGCTGGCGGGCACCAGTATAATGCTTAACCTGAGACTGTGAAGACAGTAGCATAAATCAGCCTGGGTCTAGGTGGAAATGACCGTGTATTCATACTATTCTTTTCCAGTAACATGAGAAAATTTGTCCAACACAACCTGTCAAAAAGGAATGTTGTCATGCTGTTCCCAGCAAACGACCAAAGTCAGAAGATTCTCAATTAGCTGTCTGTATCATCTCAAAGCAAAATGAAGTATGAAGGAGATGCTTCCATTCCTTTGTGACAGAGCTGGGGGCTTTTACCCACTTTGTTTTTGGGACTTTGGGCTTCATCATTGTCTTTTCCCTACGTTGTTCTTCTGGAAGAGCTTCCAATGAGATGCTTTTCTTTGCCTGTGTATGTTTTTTATTAAACTTATCTCCTGCTTGTCTGCATTTTACATGTCTTAAATTTATTCTTTGGAAACAGTACTCAACTCAGCACCTGAAAGGGAGCAACAGAAAATGGGAAACAAGATTTTGAGCCCCCACAGGATCATTTTTCTTTTTGAGCCCCCACAGGATCATTTTTCTATTTATAGAAGTTTTGCATGGTTTTCAGTAGAAATGGATGTGCTCCAGTTTCCACTGAAACAGAAGAGCCAAGGCTTTAATTTGTATGTTCT